CCTTGTGAAGCTACAGTTCTTCTCTAGTCTTCTGTTTAATGTTTCCACCATTGCAAACACAAAGTCCTGTGTAAAGCTTAAAACTGGACCACATGACCTCAACCTTTAGCAATGTCTCCCTAATTTAAAGTCAAGAAAATCTCTTCAAATTTTTTTAGGACCAGACCTGCTTTTTATTCATTATCATGCTGAGTTAATATGCTGAGCAGATTTAATTATTTGGGTTACTGTGTCTGCATGAATGGGTTCAACTCATAGTCCTATTGAATTTTCTAAATCTATTTTATCCTATTAAACCTGAACACACAGAGGTGAGCAGAGACACCCAGTGCTAGTTATACACCTGGCCTCCATGGAAGACTTACAGTCTGACACTGGGCTGACAGGAACAGAATACAACTAAATAACAGCACAGACACACACACACACACACACACACACACACACACAAGTGCCTGTGAAGGCTGTACTATTATTATAGCATTCAAATGCCCATTGCTAACTGGCACTCGTCATGGTTTTGTATGAAATTCTCTTAAAATCTGCACATTTAGAGTACATGGGAGCATTTTTTTTTTGTCAATGCCAACCAGCTTCCAAGTGCCATTTACAGCCAAATTCAAAAATGAACCAAGGGTTCTTAACCTTTCCTTTGGACAAAAATAAATGTTTCCTTTTTTAGAACACTTTTCATACATCTGCCAGCTAGTATTCAGTGGAAAAAAATATCTCTATTGTACACTTGCAGTGGCTGTTTAAATTAAAGGTTGTTTATAGAGGGATACATAGCATTATTATCTATGCGGGGAAATGCAGTGACCTTCTATAGCTGAGTCAAGCACTTACTCAACCCTCCTTATGTACTTTATGTGTTTTCTTCATAACAAATTGTGCTGCTGCTCTGTTTTGTTCACATTCAAGGCGAAAGCTATTAAAGTGACACAAAGCTCAGAAGTTAAATCTTAAAAATGCATTTATGTACCTTAACTATTAACAAAAATGTATCTTATATGTATATCACTCAGCTGTAGATCCTCAAATCATATCGGAATTGTTGCCGACACTGTGCTTCCTTCTGGAGGGTGGCTACTTTTGTTTCCCGTGGTCCTTGTGTGTGTTGTAAAGTAGCCACCGCTCCAATGGGATGCTTCCAGTGTGCTGCATTCTGTTTAGTTTGAATTTAGTGTGGCTGTACAGGGCTCTGCCTGCCATCTAGGCTGGGGATTGTGGCGAATGGGACTTGTAGAGAATATGCTGGCGATCCCTCCTCCCTCACCTCTAGCCAAGTTCTATACAAGGGAAGAGTTTGCAGGAGCCTGAGGACTGCATTCTCAATGCACTGATCACAGATGCAATGCTCTGCAGGCCTGAGTGCAAAAATGTAATAAATGCACATTTCTTTTTATTTTCTCAGTACGTGTGCAATCACATTTTTCAAAAGGTGGACAATGCCTTTAACTGTGAGCCATTCTCAGCAGAAGTTAATAATTCGGATCATTGTTATTCCCATAGGAAATTTAGAAACCCAAACCAAGTTTAGCAGTGCTGATACACATAAAATAACTTGACATTAACTCTATAGCTAATTTTTCTGATTGACATTGGGTCTGAGAACAAGGAACACAGTTGGGTCCTAGTTCCCTGATATGAGTTAAATAGGGTTCTTATGGCAAGGAGCATTTTACAGTTGGACTTTTAGGCCCCATTCACACCATATGTACATCTGAAAATAAATAGGTGTGAATGGGAGCAGTTCATACCAGTGTGTTGCATTGCGCTGCCCTTTGCTGAAAAAAAAAATAGAGCAGGCTCTAAATTTTTTCAATGCAATGCAGTGCAACACACAAGTATGAACACGTGTCAATGCATGGCAGAACCAATACCTTATGTAGCTTAGTGTAGACATTAAAAAAAACAACCCCGCCCAAATAAAAATGTCAAAAAACACAATGTAACACAATGCAAGGCATGTCAAAGCACTGTGCAAACTCTAGTCAACATACCTCCGTTGACTCACATTCTTGGGTCCGATTCCAGTGTGAATGCACCTAGAAAGTTGTATTGTGGTCATAAAGGGGTAAAGAAAGTGAGTTTCAGTTTGCTAATCTTCTGCCCTTTTATCAGATGGAGGACACCAATAGCAGTCCTCTGACTCCTTTCAATAAAGGTTTCCTATTAAGATAATCAAACAGTCATCAACAATACATAAACACATACTCCATCATCATCATTATCTTTTTCATATTATCTGCCATCATTTTCAAAGAGTATACCGCTGCATAAGGTTCAATTTGAAATGTAAACTCTGTGTTACATATATCTCAGAGTTGCTTTACAAATGCCTGTCAGAAGTAAAATACAAATTCTTATGTACAGTATACTGACCCTCATGCATGATCCAATTAAACTAGTGGGAGCCTTGAGCTGAACACAACCCAGAACCCAAAGCACTATTAATCCACTACTGCCTTCAGGTCAGGAACTGCAGACATTTCTATATCCCGTATGTACCCTCTAGGGAACAATATGGTTATAATGACCTGTAGTAACAACTTTTTCTAGACTGAGGAACTCCTATGAGAAGAAAAGTTAGTACCTTTATCTTTGATGTCTTTTTTCGATACCCACACTCTTGTCATGCATTTGTTTTTCCAATTTGCAAGGCTGTTACTGTACTGCAGATGAAAAGATTTAGTTATAACTGAAGTGTAGGCTTCCGAGATGGGAGATATTTTCTGTTCGGTAATGGGATAATCCATAACGGATCAATAGTTTGTAGGAGAAGGGAATGACTTCTTCGCCCTTAGAAACACAATTCAGAAAAACATCAATGAGCATGATCCTTTACAAATCTATGTCATAATAACAAAGCCCATTCTTTAGAAAGTCATCCTTGAAAACTTGCGGTATGGACAAAGACAGTTTGATCAGGTCCCTGCATAAATAATGACTTTACTGTCTCCAGCTTTAGTCATCGTCCATTATTGAAGGTTGTGATTTGGACTTTAGAAAGTACACTTTTTTTTTTATTCTATACACCTAAACACAGAGACAAAGCAGCTGTCTGAACAGAGGTGTAAGATAAGAATCTATAAATTGTAATACCCGGTATTCTTCTTCTTCAATGGACAATAGTGGCAAATTTACCTTTTGATAAGGTATATTACTTTGGCCATGTCAGATTATTGTATTACTATTGTAATACAGTCATTACTGTAAAAGACTACAATAGGACCATTCAAAGAAAATGTGAACAAAAGAGTTGCTTCTTAAAGTAGCCATGCAGGGTACATTTTATAGAAATCTGACGTGTCACTGTGGACACCAACTTTGCTTTTGTTTCCATTTCTTGTATCTTTTATAAATACGTAGGAATAAAGTTTAGGAGATTAATTTACATATTTATGCATTGTTGTCCTTCATCAAACAGTATTTTATGGTAATGTTAACTCTGTTTTTTCTGTGTTTAGTTTAATTTATTAGGAGTATGTTGTATTAGGGGTGGACAAATGTATATAAAATTCAGGTGCCAGTCTGTCCAATACAGGATCCAGCTCCACTGGCAACAACTAATAACAAGGTCATTCACTAAAGGGTGAAGAGTTTGGAGAAGGCAGGAGAAGTGAACAATCTAGGACAACATAGCTGAACTGGAAAGTGAGCTGAATTGGATAATTTCTCCAAATCAGCTATGTTGGCCTAGATTGTTCACTTATCCTGCCTTCTCCAAATTCTTCAGCCTTTAGTGAATACCCCTGTAAATGATGACAGCAAATAAAGAAAACCTAAACCTAAACCAATTTTTAAGGACCTTTGTATACTTGGTTCCTGGGATTTGTCAAACCATGTGTTATATACTGTATATCAGTATAATTATTGGCCACACATTTTGTTTCCATCATTAATTGGAATAGCCTTCCCTTATAAAGCATGTACACTTTTGTATGCCAGGTTATGACCAGGAAAACAAGGAAATGGAATCTGTAAAAGAGGTAGACCTTGCACAGGGTTGTTACTCTGGGCTCAAAAAGATGAAAGCCTATATACTCCAGTGATTAAAGTCCATCCCTGAACAAAACACACAACAGTACTACCCAAATAGGGCAAATCCTGAGTGAATTCATAGAAAACCCTGGTGCCCAACTTGCAGCCCAAGGCCTGACTTAACACAGCACATATGAATGCACAGCATAACACACACTAACATATGTGCACTGCAGTGGTGTAAATTGATTCTTAAAGCTGAAGTCAAGTTACTAGTCAGTAAAAAGATTAATTTGGGATTTTTTTTGCCAATTTCTTAAAATTATTTTCCTCTAGTCCTAAAATTTACACATCAGGTCAGGCAGCACAGCCATGTTGGTGACCTGACGTTTCTTTACTACAGTTAGGGAAGTGACCTAGTTGTATTGCTCTATCTCCAGACTGCAGACTTGTGATTAGACAATATAGGAGCAGGAGCAGTAACAAGAGGCAGATACCAAATCAAATTCAGATACTTGCACTAGCTGAATCTAAAAATTAACTTCATTATCTTTTTTTTATAACAAAAATATATAACCACATAAATGGTTATATATATATATATATATATAATACTGTATATAGATATCTATATTTTTTATGCAGTTCAGCTTTAAGACTGACCAAAAAATTATGATCAGATAGTTGTAGGATCCATGAGTACTTTGACCTTGAGATAAGACTGACACAATTAACCCGCCCTGGCCACGTAGTTTGCATTTGTTTCTGTGGAAGTCCTTTCATTTCATAGTAGGAAACCTGCTTTCAATGATCATGTATCAGGTGAAATGGTATCCAATACATTTCTTATTATATATGTTATACAGTATATATTTCTTATAATACATATTTTGTTTAGTGAAATATATATCCAGAGCCTTGTTCATATTTTTTTACAGCTGTGATTGTGTTATTTATAATGATAAAATATTTTTGTTATTCTTAAGACTTATGAATTTTCTTTTGGTTGTTTCTAGTGTTGAAGGGGAGGTCCCTGGAGGTGAAACCGGAGCTTCCCTAGACAGCTCATCAAGTTATCATCAAGGCTCTATAACGCACAGCTCGTCGATAAGCCCTGAGCAGTACGACCACCCTTCCTACGGGATTTATTCAGTTTCCCCTGGGCAACGCTCACGACGACCGAAGCTGCAGCACTCCACATCTATTCTGCGCAAGCAAGCTGAAGAAGAGGCTATTAAACGCTCCAGATCCCTATCCGAGAGCTATGAGCTGTCTTCAGACCTACAGGACAAGCAGGTGATTATATTACTTATTAAGTTATGCCCCATGGCAAAAGACCACCCAAAAACATGCCTATTGAACTTGACTTACCCCTTTATTATTATTAATGTATATGACTAAAAACATACTATAATGATAAAGTACAAAGGCTTCCATTTCTCACTTGTCCTGAAAATACTAGTTCCCTGACTGTCATGCTGATCCAACTGCTTCATTACTGTCTGACTCACTGATCCAGAACAAGCATGTAAGTCAGAAATGTTGTTTTTACTCTAACTTTGGTTGTTCATCTGTGTCATTGACATAAAAAACATTAAAGACCCAGTCAAGATCACCTATAGGGAATTTTCTTTTCAACACCCCCTTCCCTGCTCCATTCAACTGCAGGTAGTGCAAGGAAAGCCCTGTGTAAGATATGCATTGCTGGTGTTGCAGCTTACACACGGCAGGAGACTCTCCAATTGACCCAGCACCATCACATGTAGTTGGGATGTGGGAAATAAACCTGTTTCTTTGCCCTAAATGGGCAAAACGATCATAGGTTTACTTTAAAGAGGAACTTTACCCATATCCTCAAAATAAGAACAAAGGCACCCTTAGAAATGTTTAGTAATAACAATCTACAAACAGATACTTCTAGATAATTGCCGGCTTTTTATTTTTTGCATACCTTATTTTTATTTTCCTCACCAGTCTTCTGACAGTGGCCATTTTAATTAAGGGCAGGTTATTAGATCTCCCTTTACTTCCTGGAACTCTGGCACACATGTCTAGGACATGTGACCACACATATCATCTCAGGGAGGGGGGGGGGGAATGCCTTTCCCTGAGATCTCATGAGATTACAGATGAGATTTCCTAGCAATGCTCTACTGATGTAACTTTCCCAGCAATGCTTAGGCACATTACATCATTTGTGCCGAAGTGGACCAGGACGTAGAAAAAAAGTAATTGATAAGCTAAAACAAACATATTTTTCTTTTTTTTACAATGTTTGATGTTTTCATATCAGCATGCTAAGCTGTATGCTGATGTGATTTTTAGCCAAAGGGGGTAAAGGTCCGCTTTAAGACAAAAGAGATGCCTTTGCTACACCTACAGTCATGGCACTTTTTACAACTATTTTTCTTAATGCTGGCATTAGAAAATATACAATTATTCCAGGAGTGCCATCTGCTTGGTCCACTGCAACTGTTACTGGTTCCCCCTGCTGACCTCCATCTCACTGCAGGAGACAGTAGTGACATAGATGTCAGCAGGGGGAACCAGTGAGCTCATTGGGGACACAAGGGGATTGACATTCTTGGCGATGATTTCTCCGAATAGCAGCAGCATTTAGCAGGGGTAAGAGTGGTAAGTTTTCTGTTTCTTCTTTACAGTTTGTTTAGATTTAATTTATGTGATAGGGTCTCTTTATTGAATATCTCGGAACTGGTGCAGAAAAAGAGATATTAAAGCCCATCTCAACTTTCAGTTTAAATTAGCTAAATGCATTCCAGGTGCATTAAAACAAAAGATGTGTAAAGTCTTGCAGTTGGTTTTCTCCAGAAAATCAGCCACAGCCTGAGTAGAAAAGCCTGATCCCTGCCAGCAGCTGCAGAGTGGGACTCTTTCTGTGGGTAAGCAATGGTTTTTGTTTTGCAGAGGTCTGACATGCCCCCTGCTGAGGCTTAGCCAGAGTTTTCCAATCTGCAGAGAGCTTTGCAGAGCTATAGGGGATGTGTTGGACCTCTGCACAGCTTCCCCACAGAGAGCAAGGGTCCCGCACTGCAGCTGCTGGCAGGGGACAGGCATTTCTACTCAGGCTGTAGCTTCCTTAAAAAGAAAACAAACTGTAAGACATTATGGAATGGAGGACATTACATGGAGCTATATCACACATGCTTATAAACAAAAAACAAATAGTAATTCACAAATTACAGTAACCATAACAACCAAAACCATGTCTTTATTGATTTATCTATGGGAAACTAAAATGTGGTTGTCTACTGTTTGTCATTTGTTATTAGTTACAAAATTGTGCACATCATTATAGGTACATGGTTTGCTCACCAGTCTTTGCTCTAGTTTATTCATCAAACCTGTGTGCTTTATTAGCCACTATTCAATGTCTTCCTTTTATATTTATACTAATAATGAATGCATTACAGAGAACTAAAGTTCATATATGCTGCCACGTATTACTTTAAAATGAATCATTTGTACAGTTACCTAGTCAAAGCTATTTTAATTAGCCTTTCCAGAACAGAAGGCTCTACTATTACAACAATGTTCAGTTTTAATATATTATATGCCTTTTGTAACCTGAAGTTTGTGTAATGTATAACTCAATCCATATTTGACATTGCTCCAATTTTAGATCTGCACTCTCTCACTACCTCTTACAGCAGAGGTCTGGTAACTTTTGATTTGGGAGGCAAACTCAATTCAACTTTCCATGGCAGTGACATTTGTTGGTATGCTATGGTGACATAGTTATTGGTGGCCATGGTGAATAGTAGGAGTTGGATTAAAGAACATGAATATTTGTAATATACCTCTACACATATTGCATATATTCTAAAAGAGGCATTGTCATAGATACATTATTAAATGAAGATGCTGGGCAGTACAGTGGCTTAACGGTTAGCACATCTGCCTTGCAACACTGGGGTCGCAGGTTTGAATCCCATCCAGGACGCTATCTGCATGAAGTTTGCATGTTCTCTCCGTGCTTGCGTAGGTTTCCACCTAAGACCTGTTAATTGGTTACTGTCTAAGTTGGCCCTAGTGTGTATGTATGCATTTGGGATAGGGACCTTAGATTGTAAGCTTCTTGAGGGCAGGGACTGATGTGAATGTGCACTTTTTAAAGGGCTGCATAAAATTGCCAGCGCTATATAAATACCTTATAGAAATAAATAAGAAGTACTTTATGAGCAAGTAGATGACTGCTGCTCTGTGAAAATGATACGGACTCATCTAAATAAAATACCATGCCATCATCACAAGTAACCCTCATCATTCAGCTTCCAATAACCAAGAAGCACAATACATTCCACAGTTTTGCTTTTCTCCAAAATTTACTTTTTTGTAGTTCTCTGCATTCAGTTGTTGTGATAAAGAAATTTGTTATACTGCTCCTTATACCTGGTTGAATCAGTGCCAACAACCTGGATCTAATAAAGCAGGAGCAAAAGGAAATGTACTAAGGGGTGGAGGAAAAAAGTCTGCAATGTTTTATGGGGTCGTATAAAAGAAGGCATACCTTTTAAATGTGATTGCATCTTGCTTATCACAGCCAGCAACTTGTTTGGTTGCTTTGAGAGCATGCACATCTAAAGGGATGATATTACTCTTTATGCAGATAGACCCATGTCAGCGGACAATTTATTAATTCCAATACAGTTCTCAAAATATAGCAGGTAAAAGAAAAATGTGAAAGGTTACATTTGCAAACATTCTTTCCTACTCTGGATATTTAAATAGGGTAAGGTAATTGCATAGAGCATCTTTTCTTCAAATAGGTCAATTTTTTCCCCAGTTACAATAAACATGACCACTTATTTTTTTAGGCATATAACTTATGTTGGGATCATGTGGTTAATGTAATTCAGTCCTGTAAACTGAACATTTTAAATAACTGCATTGTAGAATGCTTTTTTCCAAGGTTATGGGAGTAAGCATAGGTATTTGTAGTCAGTAAAGAAGCAATCCGGATTTTTCTTAATGTCTGTTAATATTGCATAGCAGTTAATTTTATTTGTTACCCATACAGGTGGAAATGCTGGAGCGCAAATATGGAGGCCGTCTCATAACCAGACATGCAGCACGCACTATACAAACTGCATTCCGGCAATATCAGATGAACAAGAATTTTGAGAGGCTCCGAAGTTCAATGTCAGAAAACCGCATGTCAAGACGGATTGTGTTGTCCAATATGAGAATGCAGTTCTCCTTTGAAGGGCCAGAGAAAGTCCACAGCTCCTATTTTGAAGGAAAGCAGGTGTCACTGTCTAATGATGGGACAAAACTAGGGCACCGTATGGTGCAATCGGATTGTGGGGATCTTGGTGAGCAGGCATCCATAAAATCCCCCGCGGGGTCCAGCGATTTTGCTGATGCCATCACGGAACTGGAGGATGCTTTCTCCAGACAAGTCAAGTCACTTGCGGAATCTATTGATGATGCTTTAAACTGCCGTAGTTTACATGCAGATGAGGCACAAGCATCTGATCAAGTCAGAGGTCGGGAACTAGAAAGAAATACCTGCGGTCAGATTAAGAAAGCACATAATCTGGATCACAGGAAACTGGATGAAATGACAGCATCATACAGTGATGTTACATTGTATATTGATGAAGAAGAACTATCTCCTCCTCTTCCTCTTTCCCAGTCTGTGGATAGACCGTCTAGCACAGAATCTGACTTGCGACTTAGATCAATGAACTCTGCCCAAGAGTACTGGTCCATGACTCACAAAGACGATAAGTTAGATACTGACACAAGCTGCCGAAGCACCCCATCATTGGAGTGCCAGGATCACAGATCGCGTATAGACCATCTTCCTTTGCTTACTATCGAACCTCCTAGTGACAGTTCAGTTGACTTGAGCGACCGGTCTGAAAGAGGATCTATAAAAAGGCAAAATGTGTATGAACGAGGGATCCACAGTCAGCAAGGAAGTCCCAAACATATCACCCATATTCCCACCAAGATAATCCCTAGGGACGAGGAACAATCCCGCCATCGGCCCAGGCCAATTGAAGCTCAGTTAATCATTAATGGCACTGTAAACCGTCAGAGTAAGTCTGAATCTGATTACTCTGATGGTGACAATGACAGCATAAATAGCACTTCTAATTCGAATGACACCATCAACTGCAGCTCAGAGTCCTCCAGAGACAGCCTCAGAGAGCAGACTCTGAGCAAACAGACTTATCATAAAGAGACACGCAATAGCTGGGATTCACCAGCATTCAGCAATGATGTGATCAGGAAACGACACTATAGAATTGGGCTGAATCTTTTCAACAAGTAAGTCACTTTTCCAGCAGTATGTTTTTTATTTTTTGTTGTGATGTACAATGCTGACACATTATGATCATTTAGCATATCCACAAATGTGCTAGTTCTGTCCAAAACTATTTTATACTCCTTTAGCTACTGGAATTTATTATATCTTGTCCCCTGTCTTCTGCAGCTAAGAACACCTATAAGGTTCTCTCTACTGCTTCTCCATTAAAAGGAACCTGTTGTAAGAGAAATATAGTAGCTGCCATTGCTGCTTTCTGAAAATGTTAGTTTCGTGCTGGCCCCACTGCTTTATTACTTTGATCCCCTGACTTGGAACGAGTAAGCAGACCAGGACTTGTCTCCAGATCTGCATCATACTTTTTACAGGACATTGAGTTAGGTAGTATTGAAATCAGCCAAATCAAAAGGAGGTAAGCAAAGGTAACCCTCTGTCTTTTTCGCATACCACCTAGTATACACGTGTCAATTTGTCTTTATATCAACATAAGAAAACTCACAGTATAAAAGAAGAGGGGAGGATACCTATAGGAGCCAACCATACTCTTCTACATTGCATAGCTTTGTCAGTCTAACATTGGTAACTGCGCTGTCAAGCAAGGATGTTTGGATCAAAGAACTAGTTAAAAATAATGACATAACTCTTGGTAAGTAAGGCAGTTCACATGTATGTATTTTATGTGTATGTAGCTGCTCGTCTAGGGTTCAGCTTTGACTTCAATATAATTAATCTAAGAAAAAAAGCTTGTGTGTGCTACGGAATTGATGTGGAAAGAGGGTGAAGACTGCAAAAGAACAAAGTCTGTGGAGAAACCTGTGCCCGAGAGACTCCTATACATCTTTATGACAGGATGTGGCTGCACGCGGATATACCCGAACCTGAACTTGCACATCTGTATAGAGGCATGCCGTTGGACGCAGACAGCACTGGTATAATTGCACACATTCAAGTCAGCATGTAGTGCGTGCAGCTGCGTTCTGCCATAGAGATGTACAGGCAGCACCCCGGGCGCAGGTGTTTGCACGTATGTGCACGCTGTACAGTTGTGCTTGTCCATGTGAATCAGGCCTAATGCTGTGATCCAGAAGATGGCAAAACAAAAACATTTGGGACAATTGCCAAGTTATGCTTAAAGGAAATAGTCCTTTTAAACCCCATTTTGTGATAGTCATATTTATTCTCTGGTAACTCACCCCAATGACGAATCCTACTAAGTACAGCAGGATATTTCTAGCTAACACACATTGAAATTTATTTATACCATAGGGAATTACAACCATGTTTGACATAGAAATTTCTTAAGACTTTAACTAAAGAATACTTTTGTATGCTAATAACAAAATGTGTTGTCTGTGTGTCTTAAGATAATGCCTCTTGAGATCCTATGGGTCTCAGAACATTCTTTCTATTGCATTTAGTTAGATTACTTCTATGAGTTGGTAGCAGAAAATTTGCTGATTGCAGATCTAAAGGTCTGACTTAGCACAAGCATGTTAAACGTCTGCAGAGAGACCTCTGCTTCCCCACAGAGAGCAAGGGTCCTGCTCTGCAGCATGCTGGCAGGTGGCAGACTTTTCTACTCAGGCTGTATTTTTTTCAGACCAAAAGGGAGCAAATAAGAGATATGCAGGTGAAACTCGAATAATTAGAATATCGTGCAAAGTTCATTTATTTCACTAATGCAACTTAAAAGGTGAAACTAATATATGAGATAGACTCATTACATGCAAAGCAAGATAGTTCAAGCCGTGATTTGTCATAATTGTGATGATTATGGCTTACAGCTCATGAAAACCCCAAGAACCCCAAATCCACAATCTCAAAAAATTAGAATATTACATGCAATCAATAAAACAAGGATTGTACATAGAACAATATCGGACCTCTGAAAAGTACAAGCATGCATATGTACTCAGTACTTGGTTTGGGCCCCTTTTGCAGCAATTACTGCAATTACTTTTGCACGATATACTAATTATTCGAGTTTCACCTGTACATTGTTAGGGTTTACATAGACTTTGAAGGTATTTTGTTATTGAGTGATTTTAAATATCATATTATGTGTAATTAGGAATGATGGAAGGAAGGAAGTGTGTTTAATATCCTGCACTTAACCAAAGTTCATGTGTCAGGAAGCAGGCTGTTATCTGTTCACTGTGTTAGAATGTAAACTCGGTGGATTGCTGGCTGCATCCTGGTATCTGTGCCCTCATCAATTCCAGCTACTAGAAAGGGGCTATTCCCTCTGCATTACATGTCAGTGCTGAGACACCTGAAAGGCATGCAGAGGTCTTCTGGTGAAGACCTTCTGGTCTTGTATGTGATGTTAAGTACTATACAGTAGAAATGTGAGCAATCCCGTCAATTTTTACTAATGCTTACAGTATTTTTTTCTGGCCGATGAGTATGCCCGGAGATGTTTTCTTGTGTACAGCACAATCATGTGTGCATATAAGCATACACTATCAAAACTTTACAGCTACACATTTTTTATATAAATGGTAGGTGAGTTGAATCTAGAATCTAAAATTTTCAAGTCAATGTTGTCTTGCACTGGCTCTAAAAACTAAGACAATCATGCCTATAAGTGTCTATTAATACATATATAGTGAATGTACTTTCATTGAAGTTAATTTCTCTAAGGCCTGGTTCACATTGAGCAGTTGAAAAAGCACTTTTAAATGCCCAACACAAGAAATCCCATGATTCTTAATGGCCATTGTTCGCACCTGAGCAGAAAAACGCGAGCAGGGAAACGCCAAACGCCTGAAAAGGTACATGAGCTTCTTTGGGAAGTTAAAAGCACGTTTTTGCCCCATAGACTTCATTGGAAACACCTGAAAACGCGTGGCAGAAGCATGTTTCACACATTTTTGTGTGCTTAAATGCGAGTTTGTCCGCTGCCTGCAATGTTTTATAAGCTGCCAATCAAAATGTGCACAACTCGCATAAACTCACAAATAACCGCACACTGAGCATGTGCGCACAAATGCGCAAAAACGGTGCCGCCTAGGTGTGAACCCAGCTTTAGCCTTTTAAAGTAAAACAGAACCCTTGCATTAAAGTTCACACCACAGCGTTCAGTTCCAGAGCATGTGGAAAAACTGCAGCATGCCATATTTTTTCTGCTCTGGAACATACCAAAACGCATGCAAACGCATCAAAAACGCGTGCAAACGCCCTGGAACACACTGAAAGGCCATTTTAGGCTAAGAAAAAAAACTTTAAAGAACAAAAAAATGGCCAGGAATGCATCAAAAACAGGGCAAAACACACTGCATGTGCAGAAACTCATGCAGATCTAGTCCAGATTTGGTGTGAACAAGCCCTCAAAGAGGCAGCAGGAGGTCAGCAGCACAAAGATGCAAAAAAAAAGATGTAAAAAAGTTTTTAAAAAAATAAAACAAGTAAATTGTTAATGATACACATTACTTCAGCAAACTAAATGCCATTCAGTTAGGGTTTACATTCACTTAAATCTAAAACTTAAAAATAGTACATGTTGGTATAGAGGACGATACATCGGACCGAAAAGAGGGACAGGCAAGGAAGAAAGAGAGAAAGAGTGGTTTGGTTCCATAGGACCGTTGTCCCTATAAATCAAAGACAGCTAATAGCTATGATGAACGTACAAAAAGAAATGACATCCTGCTTGTATGGCAAACCATAGCAGTATAGCTGAGATAGTTGTTAGCAGTGTACAGTATTCTGATTTGGAAATAAATGCTGCACAGCATTTGCAGTCTGTCTCATAGCTCCCTCCTCTATACTCTAACCAGCCTTACCTGACTATGACAAGATCAATTAGATCTCAGCATAAAGAGGATCTTCACCATCTGCTCCTGTCACATTCCCTGGCAGCCGTTATCTCGGTCACTTGAGGCACTTGCAGAAAGTAGCCTTCTTCAAGTACTCATTATGTTATGTGTATGTCTGGCTTTCAGCTGTATGTACCATAATGAAACTTCTGTTTGTGACAAGGGTTGAGTGAATCAATGGGAATGTAGGAGACCAATTATTTCTACATATAAAACATACGCTTTACAAATTTAAAGGGGCAGAGCCTCAAGGCTCTGTCCTTGGACCCCTTCTCTTCTCTATCTACACCTCCTCCCTTGGTCAGTTAATAACCTCACATGGCTTCCAATACCATCTCTATGCTGATGACACTCAAATCTATCTTTCTACTCCACAACTCACCCCCTCATGTCACTTGCATGTCACTAATCTACTAACTGAATATAAAAAAATTCTGCGCTATGGAAGCTGTCTCAAAGTAATAAATATAAATATAAAAGATGAAAAGCTGCCGTTCTAATAGATAGATCAAACAAATGCACTGCGCTAATCAATAATCAAAATACGTGAATAATATAGTGCTACATATCAAATAGATCACATATAACCAACATAATTATTAAATATTCATACATAGTAAAAAGTGTTTCTCATTGTAATATCTTCAGTAGAGATTAAGTGCAAATTGGTAATTAAAAGTCCACCATAAATTGATGCCAAAAAAAAGGGAAAAAAGTGACAAAGTGCCAATATATCATTAAAAAAAAACATCAGTGATAAGTCCTTCTTATAGCTGTTGTGTGCAAACTCCCGGTGACTGTGAAACACACCGCACTCACCAGACTTCTATATTCAAAGAGGCATAACAATCCCGGATCGCAATCGCAGTGACCGTTTGCTCCTCCACTCGCAATAGGAACTTCCTCCTCCACTCTGTGCTCTTTCACTAGAAAGCTTCCGGTTCAGGTGTGCTCGTTTAAAAAGCATATCCATTCCCAAGAGAGGATAATAAACGCATAGTGTAATATGCCAAAAACAGGTTTTTATTTAAAAACGTTTAAAAACACTTACAAGATTCCAAGAAAACAATCGCTTTTTCAAAAAATATTCCAATTCATCATGAACAAGCCAGTGGAATACTCATACAATTAAAATCCTTCCAAATTAGTGTGTCCCAACCTCAGTGCGTGTCCACTTCTTTCGA